CCTTCTCAGTGAAGAGAGCGCTCCATGATAGGCCATGAAGTCTCCTTCTCAGTGAAGGGAGCTCTCCACGCTAGCCCATGAAGTCTCCTTCTCAGTGAAGAGAGCGCTCCATGATAGGCCATGAAGTCTCCTTCTCAGTGAAGGGAGCGCTCCACGCTAGCCCATGAAGTCTCCTTCTCAGTGAAGAGAGCGCTCCATGATAGGCCATGCTAGTTTTAGATGAACTGCAGAAATGGAGCTAAGCCCATATTTCTGCGGGCGTCACTGGCAGACAGCCCTGTGTATACAGGCCTGCTTAAGATCAGACCAGGCTGGCACTTGATGGCGGCCCTCAGGGATTGCTGGGTGTTCTCTTTCACACGCTCTTTTCTTGTTTTTTTCTGTGGCTTAACTTGGTTTATGCAACTCATAACAGATTGTAACAGAGTTTATCTTTTATCCTAATGTTTTATACATCTGATGTTTCATTATAAACTGACCCTAACAAATCTGGACTGTATCCAATGTTTCATTATAAATGAATTCTAACAAATGGTAAGTGGGTATAATGGTAAGTGTTTCAACCCAATCTGAACCTAACAAATCATAACTGGGTCTTTGTTTCAATCTAAACTAATCCTAACAAATCATAATCGGATGTAATGTTACCATATAAACTCATCCTCTCAAATCGTAACTGGATCTATTGTTTCATATAAATACATCCTAACAAATTGAAACTGGATCGAATGTTTCATATGTACTGATCCTAGCACAGAATAACTGGTTCCATTCTAAACCAGTCCAGACAAATCTTAACTGGATCTATATGTCATTCCTAGCTGATCCTAACAAATTCTAACTGGATCCATGTTTCATTCTGAACTGATCCTAACAAATTCTAACTGGATCCATGTTTCATTCTAAACTGATCCTAACAAATTGTAACTGGGTCTGTGTTTCATTCTAAACTGAAAGTAATGCAGTCTATCCTTTAGTCTACCTTTGGCCTGTACTATGAAGCTGGGTTACTGGCTTATCGGGGTAACTTGTCGGATTTAAGGTACCACAATTTAAATGGACTTCATATTCATTCACTTACATTTTGCCCAGAGTACCTTAAAATCCCACAAGTTACCCTGATAAACCAGTAACCCTGCTTCGTAGTACAGGCCCCTGGTGTCCCCTTGTGGTTATGTATGTGGTTAAGTAATAAAAACATGTTTTTTAAATCAGCATTAAAGTTAATTCAGAGAGTGAAATGTAGAATGAGCTGGTGGGTGGAGTTATGAGGGAAATCCCTGCACTGTGATCTGAAGCGTGTGGACCACCAGAGCACTGTATTTTTTGTTTGTCAGGTGGAGACGGCGACAGACTCTGAACCGGAGAGCAAAGGACTGAGAGAGTACCACTCTGTGGGGATCCAGGTGGAGGACGAGAAGAGGTACGAACTGCTGGGCTTCAGGGGAAATGCAGGAAGCGACCGGACTTCTCAACTGCTGTGCTCAGTGCAGGAGTATTAAGTAACATATTCATGCAGCTCATCCCCCTTTGTCCTCGTACTTTGCTTCCCTGATAAAAACTGCCATTCTGTTGTTCTGTTGTCTGTATATGTGCATACCTGGAACGCGTATCTGTACCGTGTGCTCAGGTGCCATACCTGTCTCTCCCTCCACTGAACCAAAACAGGCACGGCCGCTTCAAGCGCTCCAACAGCGTGACGACGGCCGTGCAGGCGGACATGGAGCTGGAGGGCTTTCCCGTCATGGAGGACAAGGGCTTGCAGTTTGGCGGCTCCTTCCAGAGGCACTCGGAGCCAAGCACACCCACGCAGTATGGCGCTGTCCGCACCGTGCGCACCCAGGGCCTCTTCAGCTACCGCGAGGACTATCGTGCCCCCAGCGGGCCCCCCAGCCCACAGCCGCAGCCCTGGCTGCCAGAGCCCTCCCTCGAGGGGCCCGAGTCCGGCCGGGCGTCTCCCCTCCGCCGTGATGGGGCTTGGTTCATGCAGCTGCTACATACGGAAACCAAGAGGATGGAGGGATGGTGCAAGGAGATGGAGAGGGAGGCGGAGGAGAATGATCTGTCGGAGGAGAGTGAGTGGGTCACAATAATTTGCAGAGTGTCGATTAAGGCTTCTGGCATGATGCGTGCTAGACCAAGTCTCAAGACAGGTCTGGTTTTTGAAAAAAGTACTGGAGTCCATTGGTCAGCTTTAGGGTCTTTGGATATCAGGAGAGCCAACATTCAGAGGAGTTTATTATAACTCTGTCAGCTAAGTTGTTCGTATGTATTCACCTTCAATGATGTGGATAGTGGGTTCCTTTTACCCCAGTGAGGTGTTCTCTCTGTGTCTGTTGGTTCCTTTTACCCCAGTGAGGTGTTCTCTCTGTGTCTGTTGGTTCCTTTTACCCCAGTGAGGTGTTCTCTCTGTGTCTGTTGGTTCCTTTTACCCCAGTGAGGTGTTCTCTCTGTGTCTGTTGGTTCCTTTTACCCCAGTGAGGTGTTCCCTGTGTGTTTGTGGGTTCCTTCTGGCCATTCAGTTGTTCTCTGTCTCTTTCAGTCTTAGGTAAAATCCGCAGTGCTGTTGGCAGTGCTCAGCTCCTCATGTCCCAGAAGTTCCAGCAGTTTTACTGGCTGTGTCAGCAGAACCTGGTAGGTGACCGGCCCCACTGATGACCCCATCAGTCACCCCACACATGGCCGGTGGCTTGCTGCTTATGTGGGTGTGTGTGTGTCTGAGGTGTCTGTGCTCCGTGGAACGCCTCCCAGAAGGTATTACCTCAGCAACCTGGAAATGAACAGAAAACTGCCGATGACATGTGAACTGGGGCTAATACGACGGAGCTCCCAGGTCGAAGCTGAGCTCGATTTCAGTGTCAGTGTGCATGTGTGCGTAAGTTTGTAAGCATACTGTATGTGTCATTCAGTCTGATATCTTTCCAAAGCCCTGCTAGTCTTTGTATTTCATTTGCTTTAAAATGTTATTCGCAAATTCATTGTAATGGATGCACATCAAATTGCAGCGTTTCCCCTAGGTTTACAGGTTGGGGGGGGGGGGGGGGGGCAGTCGGACACCAACAGGATTCCTAGTGTTCATGTGTTTATTTTAATGACAGGCAGTCAATATAACAACTGAACTCTTGATATGGGAAGGTCACAAACGTCTGGCCCATTTACTGAGATCCGCATGCAGGCTACAAGATGGTCTCCTTGCAGCCTATTGTGGATGTTTGTCTTGACCTGCAAATACATTAACTTTTAGGCTTTAAATGTGATAGCTGATAGCTTAAAATAGTGATAGTTTAAAGCAGAAAATCCCATTGTGAAACACACTTGTTACCCTGTTAATTTTTGTCTGCTTTTCAGGTGATTGACGCGAAATATTTTCTAACGCGCGCTCTCTGTCTGCTGGTGGGAGTGTGCTCACCTGTGTGTGCGCGCATGCGTCTGTGCGTGCGCATCAGGGCGGAACTCCGCCATGCGCGATACAGGGAGCAGAGGAGAATTGTAAACGCGTGACCGTGTAGAGACAAAAAAAAAACTGTTGTGTAAATAAGATAAATAACTTAAAGCTATTTAGTTTGTTTAAAAAAGGATAATGTATAGACCTGTTCTATAGGAAAGGTAACCTTAATTGACTTCTGTTGTGATCTGGCGCCATATTGAAAGTAAAATTAAATAAAATGAACTTGACCTTCAAGGGGGGGGCGGGAGGTGCCGTTGGGGGGGGCGAGGCGCCCCCCCTAATATAATGGTAGGGGAAACACTGAAATTGTGTCTTTATCATCTGTGTGATAAAACATCTTTTGGCTGGAGTGAGGCAACCATGAGGAAAGCTCAGCTTTGATCACCATTACAGTCCATGTGATATAGCACCGATTAGCACTGTAAATTTTGTCAATATGCTGAAGGCTGTGTGTATGTCGCACAGCGGGATAACGCACAGTGGAAAATCAGACAGTGACTTTCAGAGTTTGACACTTGAAATCTGATAACTGATGGTTCCATTGCTTGGGTGCAATTTACAATATGTATAGGAAAACCAGGCAGCTGGCCTAGAAAGACACAAAGCTGCAGAGTGGCGAGATCAGCAGCCTCCCTGGTAAGGGAATGCTAAGTGAAGGCCTCGCAAGCCGCGTCGTTCTGCAGGAGGACTGGAAACAAGTCATCTGAATTTAGGGCTTTAGTTGGAGTTTCACTGTGTGCCTTCATCAGTGTTATAGATAAGGACAAATGCTTGATCAGGAAATTATTGCTAATATTAACATAATGTAAATGAATACTGATGTCTGCATGGGATGGATCACAGTTTATTTTTTGGCTGAATGCAAATAGGATAATCTGACTTTGATTGTCTCTTAGAGACACCTAGTGGCTGTGGGCAAAACTGCCATCAAATGACCGAAGGCTGCGCCTCTGAAACCTGTCACCAGCACAGGATTGATGGACTGAACCCAAAGCGTGGTCTTTAGCATCAGCAGCGGCCAGGGGGTGGACTGAATGTCCCCCAGTGTGCCTGCAGAGGGAGAACAGCAGCAAAACCTCGGAAGAGTTCAAATTGAACAAAAACACATTTTGGTACAATGTGGTCATAATTATTCATGGTGAAAAAATATGGCCTTGGTCTAACTTTCTAGAGAGGTAATTATAATGAGTGATAGTCTAGCTTAACACCCATTCATCTGTTATCTGAACTGCATATCCAGTGCAGTGTCAGTCTAAAGTTATACAACCACCCCTCATTTAGCAATTAAGTTCCATTCCAACTACCAGATGGTTCAGTAAAGTGGTCGCTAAGTGAAAATCAGGGTAGCCTCAGACTTTACTTCAGCCTTCCATCCTCAGTTTCTTTTATTCGTCATAATATAACATTTTTAACATGTTAAACATTTTGCTTCAAAGATCTACCTCAGGCCAATGCACGTTATTGTCAGGCGTATGGAATTTGGATGTCGATGTGCGCATTGGTCGGAAAATTAATTTATTATTACCACCATGTTTGCAACTGTTTGCTAAATGAGGGAGTCACTAAAGGACAAGGGGTCTTATATCATCGAGTTTTCAGCAGCAGGGCTGTGGGGGCCCCCCTTGATGTAAGCCTCATGGTTTGACCGTAATATGGGCTTGTAAGTTAAGATAGATTGATAATCAGGTGGCCTAACCCCCCACAGGACCCCAGTGCTATGCCAAGACCCACCTCCCAGGACCTGGCGGGGTTCTGGGACCTCCTCCAGTTGTCCATCGATGACGTCACTGCCAAATTTGACGAGCTGCAGCAGATGAAGGCCAACGCCTGGAGACCGTTGGAGAGCCCTGAGAAGAAGGTGCGTCCCGCCGGCAAGTGCTTGGCCGCCCCGCGGGCTTCCGGAAGCAGCTCCTCTCCTCTGAACCAGCTAAATATCGGTTTTTAACCCGAACTCTGGTGGTTAGTGCCTGAGCTGCTCCCCTGCTGGTTCTGTCTGTTCGGCTGTGAGCAGATGCCACCTCGCTTCCTCCTCAGCTGCTCGTCTGTCGTCTTTAATCAGCCTCTTTATGGATTTCTTCCTGTTAGAGCCAAAAGAAACGGATGCAGGAATATGGGGATAAAAAGCTCCTCGGCCGCACTGATATTCCATCCACTTTTCTATAAATGGTCCATTTTTCTATAAATATGCAGAGTGGGGGCAAACCTGGGGCTCAACCAGAGGAGCACCGGGCAGGCACATGGCGGAAGGGGTGTGGACAGGGGGGGCAAACACACACACACACACACACACACACACATGTTGGCGTACCTATCTAAATGAGGACCTTCCATTGATTTCTATGGGAAATACCCTAATCCCAGTCACAGCACCCTTAAGCCCTACCAAGCCTAAACCTTAACCATAAGTAACTAAATAAAATATAAGACTTTTGCCACTTTTGATTGTAGTAACAGATTTTTATTAAATTGAGGTTATCAAAATGGGGACCTGAAAAATGTCCCCAGAAGTAAGGAAGTTTCAGATTTTACCACAATTTGGAGACATTTTGGTCCCCAAATGTGATATATGCACACCCCCCTAACACACACACACACAGAGGCAATATTCACACACCAAGCTCACTATCTGTCTGTGGAACTATCTGTCTGTGAATCCAGGGAGAAAGCTCCAGAGCAAGGTCATATCAAGGTCAAAGGAAGGACTCTCAGTGCTGGAGGATTCAGTGACACCCCCCCTCTCCCCCCCTGTGCCACCACACTACCTAGCTGCAAAGTTCCAATTCACAAACAGCATTTTTGGGTAAATCCCAAACTCCTCCCCTCGCCTGCATGTTCTCACTGGTTATTCCTCCTCTTCCGCCCCTGTAGGAAAGGAAGTGGCCGCCCCCCGTACCAAAGAAGCCCCCCAAAGGCCGAGGCGGCGTGACACGGGAGAGGTCGCTGGACCTGCAGGACAGACAGCGGCAGGAGGCGCGACGGCGCCTTATGGCCGCCAAGCGGGCCGCCTCTTTCCGGCAGAACTCTGCGACGGAGCGGGCCGACAGCATCGAGATCTACATCCCTGAGGCCCAGACACGGCTCTGAGGGCCGGGAACCCCCCCCCCCCCCCAAGTGGTCCTGTACTGTCGAGCGACTCTCCTCTCCTCACATCGTCACGTTCGTGTCGATTGCGGCTGTGGGAAGGTCTGCGCGATTTCCAGCCCTGCTTCAGCTCCTACCTTTCTAACCAGACCCGGCCTCAAGGAAAACAAAGAGAGTAGATCGGGCTCATCTGTTAGACCTCACCACGTCAGCAAGCGAGAGTTTCTGTTCAGCTTTACGGTTGGCTGTTCTCATTTTAATTTGTCACTGCGGTATACGCTGAATTTAACACGCCGGGGGTTCGGCGTTGTAATGGGGAGGGTTGGCCCTTCTTTCCCGATACGGTCACATTGAGACACAAAGTGCAGCTCCCTCAAGAACTTCACCAGCAGCACCAGCAGTGGTCCTGGGGGAAAACACCGCCCCCCCAAGGCACAGAGCAGTGATGCAGAGCCAACCCGCCTCCCCCCCCCCCCCCCGGAAACCATTTCCTCTGTAGGACTCAACAAACTGTGCTCCTCTCTGTACAGAGAGAACTGTGCACAAATAGAAGTGATCTTTCAGATAATTCTTGAAATACCTCAGTCGTGCCTGTCATATAGTTTGGTTTCCGAAGCCCACCCATCCTGCCCAAGCTCTGCTGGGCCGCTGTGGACACACACCAAGCCTTGGCAATGGCCTTCGGCTCTCTGCTGAGATCTAACATCTAGCAAAAGGCAGGTCGGTCGGCATGGCGACCTCTTTCTGTTCCCATGACGTCGGCTCCATTGTCCCAGTTACAAACATACCACGAGTACCAACATTCCCGCTGTAGTAAATTGGTGGATCAATACTTCCATAACAATAAGTGTCCCCGGTTAAGAGACAAGCGAGGTCACTATTTCAAGAAATATTTCTAACAAGTAGAAAATTACTTCTATGTACCTTAAATTATACTCTTGCTTGTATTTCCAACGGAAATGTACCTAGCGGATATCATCTAATACTGTTGCAATTAAATTGCAAGGCAAGATACAGAGATTTTTGCTGATTTTTCATACTTGGTGGATATCAGACCCAACAACAATTCATTGCAGTACTACAGCTGCTTAAAAAGGGGGGGGGGGTTGCACCTTCACCCGCAGAAATCTGGAACTTTCTTCAGATGTCAAAAGCAGGATAGTTCTGAAAAGGGCCCAAAAGACATGCAAAGGCAACCCGCTTGACAGTCACACTGTTTTCAGACTGAAGTTACACATTCCACAGCTAGCTTGGTTTCTCTTACCGGGATGATTGCATGGTTTACATAGATATCTTGAAAAGTATTATTTTGAACGATGACATAGGGACATAGATGTGGAGTGATGTGGTTATGGAAAGGAGAGATAATGGTGGCTTGCTGTAAGATGTGATGTCTGGATAGGAGCAGTTGGAGGTAACGGGGTGTCCGTGAGTGGGTGGGTAGGGGAGGCAGGGGGCAAGAAGAAGGTAGCAAGGGGCAGAAGGGCAGAATAACTGGGAAACACGATAAATGCTAGCTGAAGGGGAAAACCATGCAAGAGAGATTATTATCCATAAATCATAATAATAAGTCATAATGAAAATTCATAATGAGCTGTGGGAACTGGCCTTAAGTGAGGGGGGAGCATGAGAGAGGAGCAAGCCGGCCTAAGCACAGAGGCTTGGACCTCAGCGTGACACCCGGGCAGATGGGGATGTGCCCCCTGCAGTCCACTCCAAGCCAAACGCTCACGCCTCTGTGCCAGGCTTTCGGTGTGTTGGCGATCCCATCCCCCGCTGCCGTGTCTCTGTGTCTGTGTGTGTGTGTGTGTGTGTGTCGGTGTGTGTGCAGTATTACAATGATATTAGATTGACATTCCACATATATGAAAACAAATCAGTTTTACCAGTGTTATTACAGTATGTAAAGATGCAAACAACACTTTGAAGCGGTTTGGCTGCAAACTGCGAACGGTGCTGCTTTTTACTCTTGGTGTCCTGTTCTGGCACCAGCTGCCTACGTAACACAAACACTTTCTAGTGGTGGATTTGATATCTCAGCGCATCCCTTATTAAAATACCCGGGAATTGACTTTGCCTAGATCTAATCATCTTTGTAGAATAAAGACTATATTTTTTAATCAGCAGGTTTAGGGCAGGGAGCAAAGAAATCCTGCCATTTGTGCAGAATACTGAAGGCATTGCGGGCCAGTCCGAGTCCCTGCAAGGCTCACAGCCCAGGTGAGCATTGTGTTCATTGGCCGGCAGATTCATAAACCCCTTAGCATAGAGAAGGAGCCCAAGTTCTAAAGGGTACCTACAGAGTCATAAGTCACACAGATGCGGCCTGGGAGGGCAGGATTGCCTCAGTGTTGCACTTGATCCAAGCCCATGGGCACATTTCCCCTATGAGGAGGGCATTGCGGACCCCAGAGGCCCTGAGGTGTCCTAGCCGCACACGTACTCGGCATTGGCCACTTGTTTGTAAGCCCTTTTATGATTCGCCAGGCAGCCTGTCCATCCGCTTTCTGTCCCCTCAGAGGAGACTTCTCTGACAGGCCGCCTCAAAGCCAACTGGGGAGCTGTGGGTCACATACACAATGTCCTGAGCCGACGCACTTTCACTCTGGTATTTTAAGCTAGCTTCAGCCATGGATTCATGTTCAAAGCATCTGTGAGCTCTGAAACCGAAGGCTTCAGCCTTATCTCTGTCACAAATGCTGATTGATGTTGGAAGGTTGGGATCACAGGTTTGGAGAGGTGCAGGACTGCTGAGCGCATGGATTGAGTGTAATTTGGTGGGGGGGGAGGG